GGCTGCTTTTAGGAGCCAGGAAGGGCAAGGGTCCAGCACACTTGTGGTGGCAGTCACCTCTCCAAGAATCCTGTCCGCATCATCAGGCTGCACCAACTGAAAAGAAATATGGTGGTGACCGGCAAAGAAACGAGAAGAAATAAAAAGACCTGCCTCTAGTGTTATTTTTGTTTCTTATTGTGGTTCTTTCCTCCTCTAAGTTGAATGCCATTATTCTCTGTCACTTATTTCCAGTTTAAAATGTGAATTAAATTACATTTAGCATGCAATCCTACTTAGCTGAGAGCAAGCATCACTAAACAAAGCAGGATAAACATACATAAGATTATGCTGTTAATCTAAATCTACACCGGTGGCATACCTTAAAATTCTCCAATGTTTACGAGTGTTAAGAAGAATTCCGCTAAACGAGACCCAAATATTTCTGTAACCCAGCCTGTTTACCCCATAAACCAACCAAATACAGTAATACCAAGCAGAGTAAAACGAGGCGGTGAAGGACTTGAGTCTTTTCCTTTTGTTTTGTGCCTGTGGCCACAAAGAGGGTAACTGGCATCCCAAAGCTACACTGTTCCTGACTCTGGGGGCACTACAGATCCTGTGACTAACCGCCACCAGCTGACCTATTTCCTGCCACGCATCTCTCTTTCCCCTGCTCTTTTAGAGCCAGCCGCCATCTATTGTCACCTCTTGCGACAGTGAATGCCATGAATTAATTATACGTCCGTGCCTTTTCATCTCCTTGATTGACTGCAGCCAAGTTCTCAATACTTTATGAGGAGGCGAGAGGGGAAATCCCTCTCGGCTTCCCCCCCCCTCCACATACGTGCAGCGTTTTTAAGAGGAAGGGGCTCCAAGAACCTTGGCGCCCTGCCCTCTTCCAAACCAATCCGGATCGAGTCCAGGTGGCTCCAAAACTCCAGGAAAGGGGGGGGGCAAGTGCCCGGGCGATCAAAGGGGTCTTTGGGGACAGAAGCACCCCAGGCTAAGTCTGCGGCTTTGCGTGCAACTAACTACGCGGCAGGACCACTTTCAGCAACACCTCCCCCCCCCACACTTTGGGGGTCTCCCTTTTGCAGTCTCCTCGGTTGCACCTGGGCAATCAAACATGGCGCGCTGCTGAGAAGCGTGAAAATTGGAGTGTAAAATCCCAAAGTCTTAAAGCTTGGGGGAGTTTTTCTTTTTAAAGACGCCCAAGGATATAATATGAGCCTGCGGGAACCTCGCGCAAGGCGTCGCACTCCTCCCGTCTCCCCGCCAGCGCCATCTGGTGGACGCCTAATCTTTGCAGCGCCTGGTAAGGAGCCTTTTCTTCTTTTTTTCTCGATGCACAGGAAATGCTCGTTTTTACTTCAGTAACCAGGATCCTTTCGCAGGAAGTTAGGTGTGGTCTGTGGAAGAAGCGTTAATTTTTTTTTAAACACATCAAGCGCATCCCCAGCACGCGCCCCCCCGCCAGAAGGCAAAGGATGATGGGATGTTTGCTGCAATCTCCCCGGGGATCGTGTTTCAACCCCACGTTAGTGGGCGATCCCCCCCACACCGGTAGCGCATGTGTTACTCATCCGCGGTTTTAACAAAAGGATATCTTCTGTGTGTGTGTGTTTTGTTTACCAGTCGGCGCCCATCCCCAAGGGCCTCCCCATCCAGATGCATTTTCACATTAAAGCCATTTCTGCTGTGGTCGTTTGGGATCGTTCCTTCTTATCTTGCACTTTGCAGCACGCACTCCGTGGGTATTGAAAACTAGCTTCTTGTTACTCATCCGCGGTTTTAACAAAAGGATATCTTCTGTGTGTGTGTGTTTTGTTTACCAGTCGGCGCCCATCCCCAAGGGCCTCCCCATCCAGATGCATTTTCACATTAAAGCCATTTCTGCTGTGGTCGTTTGGGATCGTTCCTTCTTATCTTGCACTTTGCAGCACGCACTCCGTGGGTATTGAAAACTAGCTTCTCTTCTCTTAGCCTCTGCAGCTCTTTTGCGGGCGCGAATCGGTGAAGCCGAGGGGCACTCGCCGATGCTATCCAAATGATGATGGGGGGAGAGGGGCGAGATTGTTTTTTCTTTATTTCCCTACCGCAGATTAGGTACCGTTTACCATATTCTGATGGGGGGAGAGGGGCGAGATTTTTTTTTATTATTTCCCGACCGCAGATTAGGTACCGTTTACCATATTCAGATCATAATTGCTATTCTGATACATCATCTGGCACTCAAGCTGTTAATCTTCTGTTGCTGTTACTATTTAATTGCTTGGATAATGCGGCTTGCTTTGCTTATCCAGGCTTGTTGCTGGGTTTGTGTGTTTTAAGAATCTGGCAAAGATGACACTCTGCATTTTAAGCATCTTTAGTGCCGGATTTCAAAACTGCAGATGCATTAAAAGATCTCTTTCTGTTAGCAGGAAAATAAAATGCTCTTATTTGAAAGTAATAGGCTTAGAACTTAAGAATAGGTTTGCGGTGTTCGGTGTTTTTTTTTTTAATCACCAAACTCATAATTTAATAAAAGGAGTTTATTCATTTATTTATTTACAAAGCCACATAATGCTTTCAGGCAGGATGCTGCCAAATTCACATGTCCACAGCTGATTTTTTTATTATTTCAAGGAAGCAAGCTGGTCTCTGCATATACCATGTTCCCCTGACAGCAGGAGGAGTACCACACGCCAAAGAATCTTGTGACAGTTATGGCCTCCAGCAGTCTCTGCTAATGAGGCTCTCCCCAGGACTTTTGTGATGGTGGCAACAGGAGGGAAGGAGACTGAGGTGAATTCCCTCACCCCAGTACTCTATGGTTGCGTGTGCATGTATACATACATACGTACATACATACATACATACGTGTGTGTGTGTGTGTGTGTGTGTGTGTGTGTACGTACCTGTACACAGAACGGTCTTGTCAGTTTTCAGGACTGCACAAACTTTCTTCCTGGTCACCTTTGAGTTTAAGAGAGGAAGCTTCTTAGACTGAACAAAAACTTCCAGCTGTGCATCCCTAGACAAAAATACCAGTTGAGCTTCACCTACTTTCGGTTAGATGGCAGTATAACAATCAAATACATAAATAGACAGTACATAGGAACCCATTCCACTGAAGTCAGGGGTTAGACAAAGTGAGATGGTGTCTCCTCGTGTAGTAGATGATGGGAGGCAGCTACAAGATGTTGAGGAAAGGGCAGCCTGCTGCCTTCCAAGTGTGATATGTCATGTCTTGCCATTTTTACTGTTGAAGAAAAATCCAGATGTCACCCCCATTCAGCTTTTGTACATGGAGTGGGAGGGGATGCTATCTTGTCCTTTTCTCCTAGTAATGAAATATCTTGAGTCACTCCTGACTGAGTTCTGTGAAAACATGTCTAGCACTACATAACTCATAAATCTGTGCATTACTTCCTGGAATCAAAGCGATGGTCAATGACTTGGAAACAATATTTGGAAGCAATATCCTTGACTGTAGGGGTGAAAAATTGGTAGCTCTCCAGACATAGAAATACAATTTCCATCATCCCTGACTACTGGACATACTCCTGATGGCAACTGGGATCCAGTGATACCTTGCTCTTATAGGAGAGGGGGGTGTTGGCTGTGGTCATCTGTACATGCTCGGAGAACTCATCCATTTACTGTTGGCAATAGGTTCTCAGACTAGTGTATTGTGGTTTGGTTGATTAAACCTAGTGACAAAAGGAATTCATTCCAAAGCAAGGCACTTGGGATAAAGTAACACAGTGTATATTGGAATATGAAACAAGTAAGCCATAAGACTTAATCATAATTACTATAGACCCATAGAAAGCAGTGGGGTTTAAACTGTGCTTGTTTTCAATCCCATTGATTTCAAAATGTCAAGTTTTAATACCCAGTTATTCTAACCTACAGTCGTTCTGTTCCTCACAGAAAGTGCCTGGATGGGATTGGACAGTTGGGGGAGGGGGGCAGATTGAATGGGCAGCCTTGGAGGGAATAGCTGAGCCCAGGAGCAGAAAATAGCTTTTCCTAGACTTTTCTCCCCAGTCAAAATAGGTCTTTGTTGTTGTTGTTGTTGTTAAGTTTATAAGTCACATTTTGCCCACTCCTAGCCCAAAGTGGAATCCAGATATTTTGACAAAAATCCATTGAGAGCCCACGGAGCCGGGGGGGGTGAGCACTAGTCTATACTTTTCCTACAGAAACAGGAAGAGAGAGTAGATTCTGTACATTCTCAGGTAAAACCTGATACCATCACACCTTAAGCCAATGCTTTGCAGCAGCAATTTGCTGTTTTGGATTTCTGGTTTAATTTCAGATCCTGTGTATATAAGGTTTAGCCAGGATGGTTTTTTGACCCCACCCCCTGCCTCACGCTCTGTATTGGCCATCCCAAAGAAGAGAACTGGAAAGCTTGCTTTCTGGTAATATTTTAGTGGTCCAAACAATGTACTGACCAAACCTGATTTGGGATTTTGTTCATGGACCACCTAGCTGCATTTCTATTTTCTTCTTTACGCCTTTGTTAGTCTACTACCATCTCCCACCTCCCCTTACATTGCTAATACCCATTTTGCCATTCTCTGACTAAATGTAGATTTTAGGCACCTGGAGGCAGTGACCTATCATGTGCTTACATTTATCTGTCCTGATTTTTGGACAAAAGGATAAATAAATAATTGGAAGCTTGTTGTGCTCGGTGCTGCTGAACATTCTTGAAGGGTTGTCAATATATTGTGCTTCACAAGAATTGTATCGAGGGGGAGGGATTTCTGAGAGATAGGGGGGAAACTTCCAGTCATCTGAGATGATTAAAAAGATGTGAGGAAAACCAGGAAAATTGCCTGGAAGGAACATAAATGAATGCATTGACATCAGAAATCCCTTTTGCAGCCTAGTCCATAAGCTGCCCTGCAGACAATGATATGCAAGTGTGTTCCTTTTCCTCCCCTCTGCACAGAACATGGCACTAATCCTCTTTCATGTGTTTCTTCTCTTCTCCCCCTCCCCCACTCCACACTGTATTCCAGCACTTTTTTATGCATGGGACACAACTGTAATTAAGAGGTGCAGGATGAAAAGATGGCACAATCAGTGCTGGTACCACCAGGACCGGACAGCTTCCGCTATTTCACGAAAGAGTCGCTGGCAGCTATTGAACAACGCATTGCCGAGGAAAAAGCGGCGAAGTCCAAACAAGAACGCAAAGACCTCGACGACGATGACAATAAACCAAAACCCAATAGTGACTTGGAGGCCGGCAAATCACTGCCCTTTATATATGGAGACATACCTCCGGGAATGGTGTCTGAGCCCTTGGAGGACCTGGACCCATACTACATTAACAAAAAAGTGAGTGTTTGCTGTTACAAAACCTACTAACAGGGAAGAAACCCTATAGCAAGCGTGGGAGAACCCTTAAAATTTACAGATGTCTAGGATTACAGTCTCATAATCCCTTACCCTTGGGTGGGGCTGATAGAAGTTGTAGTCCAAAGCATCTGAAGCGGTAGTGATTCCCATCACCTGGCCTCTTATTTGCTCCATGTTCCAAAAGCAGTAGTGATCACTGTCTATTTCCTTCATTGATTCCCCTTGTTTGCTGATGTGGTTCAGAAATAAGCACTACAAGGGGAGAGTATCAGTATTCTATAAGATATTTTCTGCTTTATCTTTACATGTGAAAACAGTTATCTTTATCTTTATTATAAAAACAGTTTTACAGTATTACAAAATTTAGTGGTAGTGACCCTTATATTTTTTTACACAGAGAAAATTACTGAGAAAAGAAATGAACAAAGTTTTTATTAACTGTGGCATTAAGCATCAAGTCTCCCTTCCGGGGAGGTGGTGGCGCTGTGGGTTAAACTGCAGGAGCCTCTGTGCTGTAAGGTCTGTAGATCTTCAGCTGTAAGATCGAATCCATGTGACGAAGTGAGTGCCCATCGCTTGTCCCAGCTCCCGCCAACCTAGCGGCTCAAAAGCATGCAAACGCGAGTAGATAAATAGGGACCACCTCGGTGGGAAGGTAACAGCGTTCTGTGTCTAAGTCGCACTGGCCATGTGACCACGGAAGATTGTCTTCGGACAAACGCTGGCTCTATGGCTTGTAAATGGGGATAAGCACCGCCCCCTAGAGTCAAACACAATTGGGCAAAAGTTGTCAAGGGGAACCTTTACCTTTACCTTCCCCTTTCAGTGCCAAAATAGTTTGTTTGCCTTTTAATCTTTCTTATATAACAAATGCCCTTTGGCCTCTTGTTTTCCTTGTTTCTTGAGCAACTTGAATATAAACCCTCGATGTAGTTTCTCTGAACTATCTTATCATCAGTCATCATTGCTATATTGTGTTGTATGTGGGGCTGCCATTGGAGAGGGCCCAGAAGCTTCAGCTGATAAAGAATGTAGCCACCAGAATTTGAATTCATATGGCCAGGTTTATGCACATTATGGCCATGCCAATTGCCAAAGAACTTCATTTATAAGTCTTTTTAAAATAAAGGGAAAAATCTGCTGAAAAATGAAAGTTGAGTCTTTATAGCAGTCTTTCAGCAGATCTTGCCATATACTTTTAAAGGACTCCTGCTCCTCTGGGACGTTAACAGGGAGATTAGGCAAACAAGTAGTGGTCACGACAGTGGAAAGAGACTGAATTTGGAAACTTGCTTTTTAGAACGACGACTATAATGGCACTCTGAAGCCATTGTAACTGACCAGCGATCAGATGATGCTCTATTGGCTCACAGTAACAACTTGTCATGGATGATTTCAGCACATCATTATTTTCATTGTTCTGAAAAGTAGTATTCCAAGCTAGGGGTGGACCATCTCAGGGAAGCAGTCCATAGTGGACATCTTTCACCAAGATCAGCCAAAACCTAGATCTGTAGCAAACATTTCTGCAAACCTTAGGAACATTTCCTTTTTTCCCCTCCTTTTACAGGAGGGGACTAGAGATGTCAGAATCCCCCAGCCAATAGTCCTGCTGGCTGAGGGATTCTGGGAGCTGGGGTCCCAAAAAGGAACTCTCCCATGCGCTGAATATTTCTGGAAGGAGAGGCTAGAAAGGGGTGAGAATCGCTGAATAGAACACTCAGGGTTTTCTAGAATGCAAGAGGGAAAGACACTTTGAGAATAAACATGCAGATGTTCAGCACACAGCAAAGAAGTGAATAATAGCCTCATTGTAACCTCAGAACTGATCCATATGAGAGAGAGAGAGAGAGAGAGAGAGAGATGAACATGAGATTTAAAACAGTGGTGCTGTGGAAAGGAGGTTATATTTTTGTTGTTACTGCTGCTGTTGTTGCCAATGTGTCTAAGGATTCAGCGGGTGAGAATGGTTAGCTAGTGAACCTGCTATTCCAAGTTAGGGCCCTCCTGTTTTAATGAATGGAGCCAGCTTGCCTGCTTCATGCCTCCACAGGGACGTACAGCACTACCAGTCCCTGTTGCAGCCAAGAAGTGCAAATGTTTGCATCATGGTTGTTTCCGGAACGCAGAGAAAGGCGCATCTCTCACCTCACTCAGAGCAGAGAAAAGCATAACTGTCAATTCCTTCCCCCAACAGAACATGGCCACCCAAGAGCAAACTGAGAGTGAGGTTCAGAGGTTTACAGCGTGTTTGTTTCCCCTTCTTGCCCCAAAGCAATGCTTATAAATGGAAGGATTTAAATCCAGGGTTCCCTCTCCTTTCCAAACAAGAAAGGAATTTTTAAGATTAGATACGGTGCTGCTACAAGGGGGTTAGTGAATATAAAACATAAATGATTGTTTGATTAATGTAGATGATTGAATGCGGAGAGAACATAGGCAATTCATTAAAGAGACAGGAATTGGACAAATAAATGTATTAGCTACTGCAGAAACCTGGCAGGGGAATATTACTTGCAGTTTTGGCAGACATAAAGGAAAACAGCCAGTGTAGCTACAATATACAGTGTTCAAGCATTTACTCTCTTGTGGGTAAAGGCAAACATCTGAGTACCTCCTGTAACAAGTGAGAGAAGAAACATCAGGTCAAGAAAACATTGTGGCCTGAATCTGTGAGGTATTTTGAATAGTTACAGTAGATGATTCTAAACTGTTCATATTGGTATGTATCATAATAGTAAGAATATATTGAATGGAGATATCATTAAAATGTGACAGATGCAGTTTACCAATCCCTCTGGTGCTTGTTCAGAATGTACTTGGTTCCTGTTCAGAATACAGACTGATTCCACAAATCTCTCTGATGAGGATGTAAGATTTTATAGGCAGCCTGGGGTAAATAGGATAACTAGCAATGTGATGAATAAAATGTGACTCCTCAGTAGGATCTAGGCTGCAATCTTAGAAAACATTTACCAGGGAGTAAGCTTACTGAATACAGTGACAGTTATCCCTTAGTACGCTTGGAAAGGATGGCATGGCTCCCCAAATTGGATTGTGAGTTAGCTGATTGCTTAAAGTTGTTGCTTCCATGTTTGTTTTAAATATGTTCTCTTGGTAGGAAGCAGTTTGTTAACAGACCTCATCAGAGTGGTAGTCAGCCACCCAGGCAGGACCTATAGGGCCACATTCAGTAGAGTTCTGCATTAGTTGGGCAAGGCAGGTTTAGGACCATTTGAAGTAAAATGACAGAGATTAGTATGTGAAGATGAAGACCCCTGCAAGATGGTTGTCCAGAGTCTAAAACTATCTAACTGTACTGCTGTTCGGACTAAAAGCTGGACTGCTCTACCTACTATCACACACATCCTTTTTGAAAGCACTGTCATGGAGGCAACCACAAAGGCATTCAAAGCTGGGCCTTGTCTGGCAGCCACATTTAAAAAACCCGACATTCACAAGTAAAGTTTTCCAGGACACGGCTGGGAGCTGCTGTGAAAATTAATTTAAGGGCAGCTGCCATGGAGCAATGTATCATGGAGTGCACTGAGCCACTTGATAGGGTCCTTGTCCGGCCCGAGGAATGGTTTATTGCTACCTCAGTTGGAATAGCAAATGGCATCCCCATCCCCAAGCTCAATGAGAGGCATGAGACTCAAAGGCAGCCATTTTATTCTGATGCATTCAGTGGAAAATCCCATAAACATGTCTTTCTATTCCTGAAAGTAACACACTTGCTAGCCTTTTCTGTCACTTCAAATCTGTTGCCGGAAGCAGCTTAACCACCTCTTGGCCCATTTGTAGGCCAAGCCTTGACTGTCCTTGCCGGGTGCTAAAGGGAATGGCATTACACTTCCACATGCAGGCGTAATTCAGAGGATGCAGGAAAGTCCTAACAGTCTCCTCTGGGACTGGCTGGGCAGTAAAAAGCACCAGCTTGCTAGATGGTTTTATACAGTGGCTATAGAATGGGTTGATTGTATTTACCTCACATCAAGTTATGATAGAGTCTGCCACATCTTTTGATAATGACCATGATGTAGATTAAAAACTTGCTAATGATAGAAGTTCAGGAAGCAGGCTTGTACTGAGGAGCATTTTAAAAATTCATCCTTGTGGGATATAAGCACAGTTCTTTCTATCATGTGATAATTAAAAGAAACATGTTCTGAGCTCTGAGGAATTTTATAGGATGAAACAAGCCAGAACATAAGGCTACTGTAGAAGAAGCCGAATTTGCCGATAACAGTATTTAGCCTAATGGTGAATGTAGGCCAAATGGCTTGAAAATGCAGTTCTAATCCAGAAAAGGGCAGGTTCCTGAGGCAGCTAGTTTGATTTTATATCCCAGTGCCATCCCAGAGTGATGACTGGTCATTGGGATTTACTAGATTTACTAGCAAGATTGGGTGTTTACATTTCATAGAAAAGTTATGAAAGCTGTTCATCAGTACATCTCTCTCAAACACAAACACACACATACAAACAAACACGGAGAGTACTTTAAAAGCTCATTATCTTATGGCTTTGTCACATACTGACTTCACCAAATTGACCACTCCAATTGCCAATACTTTAGTGGTGATTCCTATATTATTTCTATGTGATCTGTTCCTATTTTCCGTGCATATTTCTCCGTACCTGCAAAAGTGTTGTGTGAATAGTTGCTCCAAGAACACATTTCTCTGTTATTTCCAGGATAGCGATCCTTAGTGATTCTGTGGCTATTGAGACTGTAGAGACTGCAGTAAAAACTTTACTATGAGCTGCAGTTTACACACCTACACTGTTTTTGTCATGCAAATTCTTATACCTGAGTGCATTTGGAACAGAGCAGAATTAATTTTTTTTAAAGGAACTGATTACAGTTATCATTACTTTCCTGTTCCTCAAAGGTAATAAAAATTGTTGTCTTTTTTGGTTACTTTAAAAAAATACACACACATACATCTGAATGCATTACGCAGCTAGCCTGAGGTACAAAGCACATTGTTCACCCCATCTACTTCTGTATCACCTCAGCACCAGAACAGAGCAAGAGGCTGCAATATGAAGGGAAGGACCATTCAGCACTTGAACCATGTGATATTCTTTCCACAGTACTGTATTTAGTGAGCCTACATATCTGTAACTTGAAATGTAAGAGTCCTAATTTGCCCAAGAATACAAAAGGAACAAGGGTCGTGTGGGGTGGGGGGGTTATCCCTGTTTAAATTAGAATCATAATGTAATTGTATCTTTGTTTTGGAGAACCTAACTAATTACAAGTTATTTGTATCTGCTACTTCCAAACTTATCTGTCTTGGTAAGAAGCTGCCTTGCAGTCACAAAGCTGGAAGGGTACAAAATAAGCTTTCCTGTCTTCCCAGCACCCATTTCTTGTTGTTTAGTGGAAAGAGCCCTAAGTAAAACTATATCAATATCAGTGCATTTCTGAGTAGCTTGTATAGATGTCTGACCTTGAAACACAGTTTGGACAAGCTAGTTTCTTGACCTACAGCTTCCAGAATCTCCCAGCCAGCATGCTGGGGATTTGTGGAACTGTGGTCTAGAAAAACTATTTTTTTCAAGCTCCAGTTTGAAAACAAGACATGCTGGGGATTTGTGGAACTGTGGTCCAGAAAAAACTATTTTTTTTCAAGCTCCAGTTTGAAAACAAGAGGAAACTTTGAGAAGGAATCTTCACTGGCACCAGACAAGGCTGAGTAGCTTTCTGAAAATAACCATGTTGCATGAATATGAGTAGCTAGGATAAGCCCTGCTGTCTGTGTGGATACACTCTTCTGTAGGCTGAGTACCCTTCTGAAAATAACTATGTTGCATGAATACCAGTAGATAGGATGATAAGCACTGCTGTCTGTGTGGATACACTCTTCTGTAACTGGGGCTTGCTCTTTTTATATGTGATGAGATTTGGGTGCTTCATAGGCCAATGTTATGATATAAATTCCCACTGTTGTGTTTTCCTTTTTTTTCTTCCAGACATTTATAGTATTGAATAGAGGGAAGACTTGCTCTTTTTATATGTGATGAGATTTGAGTGCTTCATAGGCCAGTGTTATGATATAAATTCCACTGTTGTGTTTTCCTTTTTTTTCTTTCAGACATTTATAGTATTGAATAGAGGGAAGGCGATCTTCCGATTCAGTGCCACCTCCGCTGTGTACCTGTTAACTCCTTTCAACCCTCTTAGAAAAATAGCTATTAAAATTTTGGTACATTCATATCCTTTGCTAGTTGTTGTTTCTTCGTGAATAAAATAACACTGACTCTTGTTTTCAGTACTGTATCTTGATTCTTTGAGGCTGTTTGGTTCTAAAGAGTGTATGAACCACGTGTTGTCCTTCCTCCGTTTCTTGCTTTCACTCCCCGGTACATTTCTCATATTTGCTAATTCTACAGCAGCTGCTCTCACCTCATTATTGTAGGGCAAGGTTTTCAAATGAGATCCTTCCTATCCTCCTTTGGCTCTCTTGTTTGCTTACAGTGGGGTCTCTACTTAAGAACTTAATCCATATTGGAAGGTGGTTCTCAAGTTGAAAAGAAAAGTTGTTGAATCTGCATTTCCCATAGGAATGCATTGAAAACCATTTAATCCGTATCTGCTCTTTTCCGTCCATAGAAACTACAGTGGAACCTCTGCTTAAGAACTTAATCCGTTTTGGAATGGTGTTCTTAAGTTGAAACATTCTTAAGTTGAAGCAAAATTTCCCATAGGAATGGACTGAAAAGTTTGGCTCTCTTGTGTGCTTATTTTGCTCCCCATTTTCCCCCCTTTCTCTTTTCTTCTCTTACATCTCCATCCTTCAGTGCCCCATTCCTTATTTTGCCATTTGGTTTCTTATGACAGTCTAATTGCCTTATATCAATGGCTTATGTCACCTATCCTGGGATGGCTTAAGAGTCTGTCTGCAGTTCTTCAATGACATGAACTGAAAGGCGTCTTGCCCAAGGTCGGGAACTGCAGGGGAAGGGTTAGCCATATTGCAGATTTCACTCACAGATTGTGAGGCAGCCTTGAGGCCCGTCAGGCCTGACCACAGTCTGCTCCCAGCCCAGGCCCCACATTAGAGGTTTTGCCGCTGCTTTCTGACAAAAATCATCACGAACAGAGGTGTTCTGAACTTATGAGTGATCCAGATGTGTTATGGCCACTAGGCAGAGAAATTCAGTTCTGATTTGTACGAGGGGATATATGGTGCATTTATCCAGTGTATTTTGACTGGAGATCATACTCGGCCTCGTTCTTAAGTAGAGACCCCACTGTATTTTGCTCCCCGTTTGTTCCCCCTTTCTCATTTCTTCTGTTACATCTCCATCCTTCAGTGCCCCATTCCCCATTTGCTTTCTTATGACAGTCTAATTGCCTTATATCAATGGCTTATGTCACCTATCCTGGGATGGCTTAAGAGTCTGTCTGCAGTTCTTCAATGACATGAACTGAAAGGCGTCTTGCCCAAGGTCGGGAACTGCAGGGGAAGGGTTAGCCATATTGCAGATTTCACTCACAGATTGTGAGGCAGCCTTGAGGCCCGTCAGGCCTGACCACAGTCTGCTCCCAGCCCAGGCCCCACATTAGAGGTTTTGCCGCTGCTTTCTGACAAAAATCATCACGAACAGAGGTGTTCTGAACTTATGAGTGATCCAGATGTGTTATGGCCACTAGGCAGAGAAATTCAGTTCTGATTTGTACGAGGGGATATATGGTGCATTTATCCAGTGTATTTTGACTGGAGATCATACTCGGCCTACTGACATGAAGACTGCACAGCAGTTGTGCCTATCCTTCTTTCCCTGTCTCTCTGTCTCATAAACCCCAAAGCCTTGTACTGAGAGTCAGGGCTGTGAACTGTTAACAACTATTATGTAACTTGCAGCATGTCCCCTTCATCAATATAAGTAAATATGCACACCTGGGTATGTATAAGCATTCCATATGTTTCTTGTATTTTTCGTGTCAACAAAGAACTGGCTGTGTCCTGTGAAACTGATGGAACTTGGAAACTTCAGTGTGGCTTGCAAATCTGCAGTGATCCATTCTATTTCTGAATGTATAATTTTTGTTTTGTTTTAACAGATAAAAATTTTAATAAGAAACTTAAGTATGTGTTGTTGTGGTGGTTTTAAAGAACAGTTTCAAAAGAGATATGTATGTAAATGTCAGTAGTAGCTAAGGCCAGACAATAAATGCTCTTTCCATGATTCTGCCAATTATTATTATTTTAATTATTTTTTATTTTTAACAACTAGGGATAAGGTACTGTAAGGAGTACAAAAGGTAGAGGGAATATGGGGGGAAAAAGAGGGGGAAGGAGAACACAAAATGTACTGTCATCCAATCTGTTCATGTTGTGATATCAAGTCAACTTTCCATCTTTCTACAATTTGATTGCCCTCCAGGTTTCAACTTACAGTTACATCTTAGTTTAATTCTATGTTATTCAAACACTATCTGGTGACTCAAGCCATTTATATAATAAATCCCATCGTTCAGTTGCCTTTTGTATTGGACAGTCTTTCAACACTTCTGATAGAATATCCATTTCTGCCGCTTCCCATATCTTCTCAATGAGTTCTTCTTGTTTCAGTATCTTCGATTTCTTCCAATTCATAGCATAAAGAATTCTGGCTGCAGTGACTATATATACTGTATATAACTAGGTAGTTCTTTGTCTTATCTATATTGTCTGTTATAATGCTCAGTAAAAACAATTATGGGATTAGTGGAACATTACAAAGCAGTGTAGTATGTACTGCTATAGATGTATAATATTTTCATGTCTGGTCTTGGGAAAAAGAGAAAGGGGTTGAGAAGTCAACAGATTTATTTATTTTTTTGTTAGAGAAATTTAAAGCCAGTATGATCTGGAGGCTATGGTTTTGACAGGATGTCAATAATTCAAGTTCTCCACTCAGCTATGAATTTCATGAGTGAACAAATCAATTTCTCTAAGTTCGATCTGCGCTACAGGATTGCTGTGAAGTTACATGTTAGTCTGAACTCCTTGGAGCAAATGTCTGGTAAACATTTGATAGAATGCTTTGCTTTCCAAAAAACATTGTACAATACTGAAGAAAAAAATAGTGAGCTATGAATATTCATGACAGAATGAGGCTGAATTTGTTTTTATAATGCCTGAAGTGTTAGTTCATGCTAATGATCCCCCCCAAAAGTAAGCTGCAAGGTTAATGGGACTTTAGTCCCAGATATAACTTGTACGTATAAGATCACAGACTTGAAGCACAAACCAGTGCATGTCTACCTAGATGCAATTCCTACCCAATGAGGTCAGTGTAATTTACTACTGCAGCTGAGTCCACATTTTTTATGACTTTCAGAGCTGACCCTAACTGCTTTTACTATTAGGCTCCCCGGTCACATTCTGCTCTTTGCTATCCAAATTCAAGTCAGTTCTGGATAAAGAGTATGGCTGTACCTTTGTGGGGAATGGAATAAGCTGGTGAGGAGAAGAACAGAAGCAGATTGGCAGGGATATGGGGAGGGCTTTCCGTTCAAATCAATAAGTGAGCAGAGATTATTGAATTCTTGTTCCTTGGCAGCATCACTAAATGCCCCTTCCCCTACACGCCTGTGGAACTTTCACCACCACATGGAAGACATCTGTCAAAAGCGGAAGGGCCTGAAGTGTTTCTCTCAAAAGCTAAGTAGCTGTCCTGGAAAATCCTTGTGTAGTGCTTTGAGTTCCCTGCAGGAAGGTTGCTGCCAATATTTAAGTGTGCGTCCACACATGCACACATATGTGTGCATGCATAAGCAATGTGCAACCTTAAAATAGCTCTGAACATCTTAGTTGATGGTGCCATCATGTGGCCACTTAGTGCCTATCATGACTAATTAATTGACTTGCTTTTTCATGAAGATGTACCTTTAAGGTACATGCTTTATAAATTCCTGAGGAGATTAATAGTGTGTAGGATAGCAATTCTAGTCAGTGCTAATGGTGACATAAGCCATGGCTCCAAGTGATTCCTTTATAGTTTTGCTCACATGTTCCACATACATTTCTCCTCCTTGGGAAGTAGCCCAAATTGCCCCGTACTAAAGCTTCCTCAAACCATCAATAGCAGTAGAGTACTTTTGAAACTAGACACATTTTAGTAGCACTATCTCCCCAAAGAGAGATGGGCCATTGAGCATCTGGTTCAGAATCATCACCCACAAGGACTGGCGGTGTCTCTACAGGTTTTGAGACAGGCCTCCTTCCCAGCCTTGGCTGGAGATTCTGGGGATTCAACGTGGAACCTTTCACATGCAAAGCAGGCCATCTGTCAGTGAATGATGAGCTTCCTTCCTTCCTTCCTTCCTTCCTTCCTTCCTTCCTTCCTTCCTTCCTTCCTTGTGAAGAAGTTTGTATTATTATGAAACATGCCCTACATCAATGTACATGAGGCAGTACAGTATTTATATTTGAACCCAAGGGTCACTTTCCATTACTAATTAACTAATTAGTGTATTTCAGTAAATGATACCTTCCATTTTACATTCACATGGATTTAATTAACCTTATAGGATTCATTGTGTCTTCAGCTGATAATTGTGAATAGGTGAATATTTTTCACCTAATGCAAAATATTATTCTGAAACATCCTTTTGAAGGGCCCCCTTCCAATTCATCATTCAGTGATTCTAAGTTCTAGTTGCGTAGCAGTTTACAAAGTAGTAAATGAAAGCTTATAACAGGTTACTGCCATTCATGCCTCCACCAACATATATTTGCATCCTGGCATTTTATTGACCACCCATTTTTTACTCCAACCATTTCTTTTTAATTCAGAAGAAGAGTAGGACTTTCTGCATGCTTCTTTTTTTCAAATCCACTTTTATTTCTTTGTATTTCAGAAAATCTGTTTCGGTGTTTGCCTGTTCTCTTTTAATTATGGAGCAGTAAGTCAGAAAGTTTTGAAATGCTCTCTGAGCATTATTTTAATGTAGCAAAGATTAAAGATGTTGGAAGTAAGTCAGAATGCACTGCTGACATGATCATTTTAATTATGATGTATTATCAAGTATATGTTCCTTGACTGTAACATACATTATTCAGCATGCTTATTATGTGCACTATTTTAACCAACTGTGTATTTATGACTATGAGTAACCCTCCGGATTGGACAAAGAATGTAGAGTAAGTCCAATTTAATTACAATTCAGTGTATTAATAAGTACATAATGCATGTCTCTGTTTATTGTGTGCAGTCCCCAAGTTTATTATGTGCAGTCCCCAAGGTCTCTGTAATGTGATAACAAGTTCATAGGCAAGCAGCCTATGGCACTTGTTATCACATTACAGAGCCCTGCATAATAGCATATGTTTGAAACACATGACTGGGGATACATGTAAAACATCTATGGTTATACCTCTTGGGTGAATCAGTTTTAAGCCCAGTGCTGAATTTCCGTTCTGTATATGACGGTGCTTTTGATGGTCTAGAACAGATCCTATAACCTCAGAATGCCTTCGCTAATCATCTCTAGAGTGGAATTCGATAGGACTGCAGTCCATTTTTCTACTGTTTCCTATTTCAGCTTCTAAAATGCAGAATAGTATTAGAATTTATTTTACAGTACAGTGGCTTTTGATGTTACATCAGTCTGTCAGAAATGGATGCACAAAGAAGAATTGGGATTCAGACTGTGCTGCGTTTTAGGGACCAGCTGTTTGATAGTTCTGAAGGCTTCTCCCCAAAATATAGGCTGGAAGAAAACTGGAAGACATCGCAGGCTGTATGGGGATAAACTTGAGGAGTTCTTTTTTTGTTGTTGTTTCTTTGCCCACTACTACATATACATCATCAATCCTGCTTTGGCCACTACTCCTTTGCCCACTATCTCTCTCTCTTCTTAGTAGCCAATTTTGTAAGGAGTTTGATCATGGTAATATGATAATTATGTGTCATCAAGTTGATTTTGGCCTATGCTAGTGCTTTCCTGGGTTTTCTAGGCATACAGCACTCAGAAGTAGTTTGCCATCCCCTTCCTTTGGGGCTGCATGGCTTGCCCAAGGCTACACAGGCTAGCTCTTCTCCCAGGAGGTACAGTGGGGGATTAAACTCCTGACCTCAGGAACCCAACTCACTGAGCTATTCAGACAGAGAGTTTGAAGTAGGGGGAAGGAATAAAGGAAGCAAAGAGGACGCA